AATGGTAAATGTTTAAAAAATCGCCAAAAATCGAGGTTTTGAGCAAATTGCAAATTAAGGACATGAAAAGACGCAGCTCAACGAGTTCTTTAAAATGGCTATCTCGGATTTTCCATAAAATGCGTTTTTTGCCCCTAAAAATTCAAAAAACTATATTTTTTGGAAAACAGCTAATAAAATCCAAAATTTTGAGAATTTCCAAAAAAACGGAACATATGTTATAGAGCTCTATTAGAACATTAGATGTCCCAAATTTCAACTTTCTATCTTGATTTTTGACCCCCAAATTGTAAAAATAGCTCCAACATGCATAGGGCATGGTGACGTCATAAACATTTTAGCGAATTAGAGGCACTTCTGAACATCGCATGTGAAAACAAATGGCACCACTAGATTCTGGGGACAAAGCTCGTCTAGAAAAGTGCATTTTTATGTCAAAAATAAAAAGTTGAAAAATTGACCTTTTTTCTCAGCCCTCGTTTAGTATAAACGATTTTTTATGCTTTCAATGCACACTTATCACCAGCACAGTGACTTGGGGTCACATATAACCATTACCATCGGATTTGGCGTGAAAAATAAGCCATAAAACATGTGTCGCACGCCCATGTAGCAGAAAGTGAAAACCGTGACCTTTCGTGACCTGACCTGACCTTGACCCGTACTTAGTATGACCCCTATACGCACATGGTACCTTCACTAGGTCTTTAAGGTCATTTGTGGTGAGTTTCGAGCAGCAGCTATCGATTCCGCTGTCCGTAAGCCTAATCATGCAAAACCCCTGAATTTGACCTTTGACCTGACCTTGACCCGAAAGTTGACCTCAATCTTAAAATCTTAAGAGTGCTTTGGGAAGGTCTCGTAGAGACCTTTCGAACGCCGCCTCGCGGGGCTCGATACGACCATTGGTTCTCGAGATAACAGGGGGGGGGGGTCGGATCCGACCCCCCCCCCCCAGGCTGATGTGGGTACGGAAATAGCCCAGGCGGTGCCGGGTTAAGAAATAGGTCACAGGTCAAAGGTCATTTGAGTCGGGGTCATGAAATTTTCAGGGTATGTGTAAAATTGATCAACTCGAGAATGCTGAAAGTTTCGTTGCGCTCGGCCGCTATTTGCGCGAGTTATTCGCAAAAATGAACACAAGGGAAATCCGTGCGACACCTCCCCCCCCCCATTTAAGTGAGAGGGTTAAAATTTAAGTGCAAGTGCAAAGTGCATGTTAGCTGTAAAAACGCCCACTTTATCAATTCATTTATAAATCTATTGTTTCAATTTCACCAAACTTAAAAAAAAAACGTAACCTAACTGGGAGATAATATACAAATGCGAGGACCTATACTGCAAAAAAACGCATTATTTTTAAATGGCGCCGACAAATTGTAACTGCCCCAAGCTCAGGCCGATGTAGGGTGAAAACAACCGAAATAAAATACACTACGGCGGAAATGAAATACCCCACGGCGGAGCTCGGTTGCAGTTTGTAAATACGCGCACGGGAATGCAGGCATTGCTACAATTAGAGAGCAAGTATTTCAATGGGGAATGATTATTAGATATAGTGCAACCAATGAGAGTAGCATAAGAAGTTTCATAGACTACTGTATTACGCATATACTTATCGCATATACATATAGCACCACGCGACAGCATCAACGGTAGGCATAGCGCCGACCGTTCCCTAATTGCTACACGGTCAAAAGGATTTATCATTGGGTCATTGAACATCCAGTCAATGAAACCTAAACTGCTAGAACTGTCGGACCTTCTTCACCAAAATCAAATAGACTTGTTCTGTCTCTGCGAGACCTGGCTGCGACCGGCCACTCCGAGTCGCCTGATTGTCCTGCCAGGCTATAGACTGCACCGTGCCGACCGTCCAGACAACAGCGGGTATGGAGGGGTGGCGCTTGTTGCGAGGGAAGGGCTGACAGTCACTCCGATAAAGGTTTCCTCAGAGACTGTAGCAAGTAGCAAGCTGGAGGCCATGTGGGTAATGGTAAAATGTAATAGCAAGCGACAGATAATAATAGGCACACTGTACCGCCCTCCAAGGAAAAATGTGGGGGACATTGAGGCTGATTTTTGTGATCTGGACAATCAGTTCCAAAACGTCCTCAGCGCACATCCACACACTAAAATCGTGATTTGTGGTGACTTAAACTGCGATTGGCTAAAACCAAACTCTGATTGTGGCAAAAACGCCCTTAACAACTTTGTCACTGACTATTCACTTGCCCAATGCGTGACTGACGCTACGTACTATACAGGATCGCTGCTTGATGTCTTGCTTACAACTTGTCCCCAAGTGGTTATGCAATGTCATACGAGGTTCTGTCATTTTAGTCCTCATAAGATTGTTCTTGCTTGTATCAGTATTCCCCGTGTCCGAAAGCCTCGTCGTATTATCAGATCACGCTGTCTTCGACGCATTGACTTGCAGGCATTTGTGCTTGACCTCTCCCTTGCAAATTGGGAATCAGTGTTAACCGCGTCTACCGTCAGCCTCAAATGGGAGCGCTTTCTTGCTCTCTTTTTGCACATTCTTGATATTCACGCTCCGATGAGAGCTATTCGCATACGAAATTCGAATGCACCTCCAGTTAGTGATCAGACGAAACAGCTTATGACTCGCCGTCGAGTGGCACTAAACGCCGGCGGTCACAGCTCGGCCGAGTATAAGGCATTGAACCGGTCAGTACGGTCAGCCATCAGACGTGATAGACGCCTTGACATTAAACAACGCATCTGCGACCAGGGTCCCCATTCCACTTGGCGGGAAATTAGATCTGTTGTGAGCTCTAAAAAAGCTGAACGCATACTACCCGACCTGACGGCCGATCAGCTTAACGAGTATTTTGTTAGTGTGGGCCCTCGTGTGGCCAACGAGGTGAGGAATGAGGGGCCGGCCACTGACATACCATGCCGTTTACCTCGAGTCGGGGCTTGCGCCTTCAAACCAAGTTTATTAACACTTTCCGAGCTGAGAGATATTGTTTTTCATATGAATGGATCAAACGCATGTGGCCAAGATGGCATCAATATTCAAATGATCCGCATGGCTTTCGATGCAATCGGCTATGTGCTTCTTCATTTAGTTAACTCTAGCATTTCCCTTTCCGAGGTGCCATCCTCTTGGAAACACTCTCTTGTTTTTCCTGTTTATAAATCTGGAGAGTCGTCAAAGCCTTGTAATTACCGGCCGATTTCGATAGTTCCCGTCATCGCAAAAATTGTTGAACGCGCTGTTCACCAACAAGTGTACAGGTACCTGTCTTATAACCATCTTCTTTCTTCCTCGCAACACGGCTTTCGTCCACGGCACTCAACCGAAACAGCTCTCCTTACCATTTCTGATCACATCCTTTCTGCTAACGACAAGGGAGAATTTTCACTTCTCTGCATGCTCGACTTAAGTAAATGCTTTGACGTGATTGATCACTCTAAACTTCTAACAAAGCTGCAGTTGCATGGGATCGAAATTTCCTGGTTTTCTAGCTACCTCTGTGGTCACACGCAAAGTGTTCGTTTTACCGACAGCAAAGGAATTGTCCAGTGTTCCAAACCCCTCCCTAATGATATCGGTGTATTCCAGGGCTCGGCCTTAGGTCCACTTCTGTATTGTATTTTTGCTAATGATCTAAGTTTGTTTGCTGAAGATGCAGTGATTGTTCAGTATGCGGATGACACGCAGATTTTAGTCAGTGGCAGAAAAGACGAATTCGAAAAAGTAACCTGCAAATTAGAACGAATACTAGAATGCATAGGGCTGTGGTTTCGTGCCAACGGACTCAAACTAAACGCTGGTAAAACACAGTTGATGCTACTTGGAAGTCCTAAGAACATGCGCGATCCCCCTAATGGCACTGTTAGATTTCATGGTTGTACTCTGATTCCCATCTCGGAGACCAGAAACCTTGGAGTCCAGTTTGACTGTACTCTCAGCTGGGATGCGCACGTCTCATCAATCGCTCAGCGTTGTTTTGGTACCCTCATCGGATTAGCGCAACTGAGGGGTCACCTGCCGCCGTCAGTAATCTCGATACTGGTTGATGCGTTAGTCATTTCACATATCCGTTATTGTTTGTCTGTTTATGGTAATGGTACGCGCAAAAATACTAATCGCATCCAAAAAGTCATAAACTATGCGGCTAAAGTCATTTTTGGACGCAAGAAATTTGATCACGTGTCTGACTTATTACATAAATTAGGCTGGCTTAAAGCCAGTGAGCTTGTCGAGTACCATACTCTGTGTATGGCTCACAAAGTGCGTCGCACGGGAGTGCCTAAAACGCTTGCCGACAACCTCATTTTGAGGTCGGACATTCGCGACCGCGATACTAGGCAGAATAACAATCTGCAGGTACCTATGTCCTGTACAGAAATGGGCCGGAGACGTTTTTGTAGTCGCGCACCCCGACAATATAATGCTCTGCCTCATGATCTGACACTACTGCCAATACCAACGTTTGCTAGCAAGTTAGTGAGCCATATATGTGACCGACCTGTACAGACATAATCTAAATACCTGCGTTCTTGATGACATGTATGTTAGTGTACTTAAATGTGGCTGTGAACATCTCGAACAACCATCCCATTGTATGTTACATTCAACGTGCAACCTGCAATTTAATTGTTAGCAATTATTATTATCATTTTTCGTTATGTTGATTAAGGCTGCGGCATTTGTGTTGTGCTCACTATGTTTGATGTGATGACGCCACCGTTTTTCGCTGTTACCGATCCTTTTGGAACTGTAATAGCCCCAAGTCGATTGGGGAAAGTTCCGAAACAATGTGAATACAATGTGAATACAATATTATGTTCATATTCACATTCTACAGACTACATATGACTGCTGCTGCTAAAAAATTGCTGTGCGGCCGCTCGTCTGTTTCAATGCTGACTATGTCAGTGTCTGACACTCTGGTGTCAGTGGTGCAGCGGGGAGCTGGCGGCAGCTCTGTCCGACTGCAGTCCGCTGACACAGCTCTGTCCGACAGGGCCGGAGGTGACGAAGCCGAGGTGGCCAGTACGGTCCCAGTGGGGCGGTCTGTCAGTGTCGCTCCAGGGGGTGGCTGCCGACACCATCAGTCACCTGGCTGACCTGCGACGGACGGTCAGACTACTGGAGATATACGGTGAGCAGCGGCAGCACGGACAGGCCGCTGATATACGAGCTCAGTGAGTGGCCGTCGCCCGTCACCGAGTAACGGTGTGGTGTTATGACTGGACGTGTAAATAGTGATATACGTGTAGAGACAGGTAGGTAAGTACAACGTAAAACACTGTCACATTATGATTTTTTTTTTCGAAATAGTGGAGTTGGTGCACTTGATATATTGAGGCAGACATATTTATGAAACCCACGATATATATGAACTCTCATACCACATACACATAATGATGCTGTTCCCGTTTGCGACAAAACTGATTTCATTAACTGAACGCATTGCATATTTTAGTCGTAAAAGCAGAAGTGTGCCATTATATTGAAATCCGATGGAAGTCTGCAAATTGCGAGGTGATGGTATTTTTCCATTTTATCATGCATTAGCATTGGCGTCTGCTACATCACCCCAGTTGGCTGATCCTGTCTGTATGTGTGTCTGTGTGTTTTCCAGATTGTACTGATCACACGGCCGGCAGCCAGAAGCCCCTCACCAGGTGCCCTGAGCTGTACAGTCTCACCCTGTCCGGCGGCGTCCCTGGCACCGTGAGCCTGGAGCCCCTCACCAGGTGCCCTGAGCTGCGATACCTATCAGTCACCGCCGCCGACCTTCCGCGACTGAGGGGGCAGCTGCCGGAGGGCCTCAAGCGCCTCAATATCAGAGGTGAGATACCACGGATCACACATGTAATGCCGGTATATGCAAATGAACAGGGGAGACGGCAAATGGACGAACCAATCAGCCTCAACTAGCAAGTTTCATCGTTAATCGTGTATATTACTTGTCTCGTATTGTGGTGAGAGGGGGGAGGGGTTCAATGCATGCCCTTCGATAGTGTTCATGCTTGTGCACAAGCATGAACATATGCCACAATTGCATATGCCACATATGCCACAATTGTGGCATATGCGTGGAATACCTATTAGTATAACGTCACGGGGTGATTTAAAAGTTGAGGTACTAGCGATAGTTGCATTGTCACAAGCAGCAAATTTCCGAACAAGCGTATTGAGTATTAACCCGCGCCCTGCTGGGGGTCCTGGATTTCCACGCCCTGCTGGGGGGGGGGTGTTTGAACACCCCCCCTTGTAACTCGGCTCCTGGGCCACGTAGCGATACGCGGAAGGCGGCGTTCGAAAGAGCGTAAAAAATAATGACGAAATCACTTCAGTCAATTTTTTGGTCAGGTCAAAGGTCAGGTCACCAGAGGTCATTGAAGGCAAAATTTCGCCGATTTCCAGGTCAAATGTCGAAAATTTCCAAGAAGCCAACGCATAACTCGGGAACCAATAGAGCTACAGCGCCGCGGAAAAGCGCATTCGATAGCCCTATTAACGCCCTTTCTGAGTAATTCTCTCAGATTTGACCTAACGTCAACGGTTTTGCCTGCAGGGGGCAAAAACTGCAAAAATAGCCGATTTTTTCGAAAACAGTTTTTCTGCAATAACTTTTGACCCAAGCATTGTAAGAGCTTACTTTTACCGGCATCGTGTTCCTCTCGTCAAGACGCATCGAATGAACTATAACTTGACCTTGAAAGGTCAACTTGAAAATTTGACCTCAGGTCAAGGTCATGACCTGACCGGAAAGGGTCATGTTGCATATCAGTCGATCCGTATCGTCGAGCTGAACACATCTAAGGCGTTTTCATCGCTCTAGCATGCCTCTATCAAAAGTTATTTGCGAAAAACTGTTAGATACCATTCGTGACCTAAGATGACCTCAGGGCATAAACAAGGATCACGGACACCATTTTCAAGTTCAGTGTGTCTACATCACTTGTAATTCGATGTTCGGGAGTGTTTATAACGTCTTTCATCCAAAAGAAGCGCATTTCAATTTTCTCCCATTGACTTATAATGGGGAGGTCGCAAAATTGACCTGACCTTAGGTCATCGATATCAAAATTCTGAGATATACATTTTGTACATGCTATTGCTCTTAGCAATCGCTGAAAGTTTCAAAGCGATCGGTCACTCGGTGTAGCTATGACAGACATTGAAAGTTTTTATGAGGTGAGGTCACTTCAAGTGACCTGGTGACCTGACCTTGAATGACCTTGGTGTGAAATTTTCACAACATGTGTAGAATTGATGTATGATAAGGTGTACCAAAAACGGCGGCGCTCCGCGCCGCCGTTTTTGAGATATTCGCGAAAAACCATAGGGGGGGTGTTCAAACACCCCCCCCCAGCAGGGCGCGGGTTAACCCGCGCCCCGTTGGGCTCTGCCGAGCAACGCGCCCGGTTGGGGGGGGGGGGGCATTTTGGCCCCCCCTAAGATCTCGAGAACCACGCAACATAGCGACAAGCGGTAAACGGCGTTGGATAGCCCCAACGGGGAACTACCTTGTGACCCAATTTTATTGACCTAGGTCAAACCGATGACGTCACAGGTCAGGTCAAAGGTCCAATTTTCACCGTTTACAGGCACTTCAAGAAATGCGTTGTAAAATCGAGTAAAATGCATTTCATTGAAAATCATCGATGGGGAAATGTTCTTCAAACACATATTTTGCTATTTGAGGTCACTGATACCAGGTCAGGTCACAGAGGTCAGGTCACGGGGGGGTCACAATATGAAAGTGTCTTGTGATACATGTTTTATGGTCCATTTTACATGACAAATGCGATTATATGGGTCAGGCAGCCTTTGGGGCCAGCTTAGATCACGTTTTGGTCAAGGTCAGGTCAAGGTCAGGTCAAGGTCAGGTCAAATTAGGTCAAATTTCAAAGTTAATATTTTTGCATAAAATGGGTATCGAATCGATGCAGCTCGTCACGGGGAGTTCAATGGTGGTCTTTGTTTTGCCGTACGAGGTCTAGAATTGCTAAAAATTGAGTTCAAAAATTTGACGTCATCATTTTTGAACAGTTTTTTCGCTATAACTTGGCCAAAAAACGAGATATCGATCTGAAATTTGGCATGTATATAGAAGAGCGCTGGGACTATCACATATATTCCGGTTTTTTCGAAATTCGGAAAAAAATGGATTTTTTCAAAGTTTTTCTAAAAAAAATCAGTTTTTTGAATTTTTTTGGGTCAAAACCAAAAATTTTGAAAATCCGAGATAGCAGTTTTGTAGCGACGCTTTTTGTCTACTAGACCATATAAAGAACTTTGAAATTGCTTGATAACTGTAGATTTGGTGAGCGTTTCAAGATTGCATGTTTTTTGCTCATTTTTGCTCGAACATGACCTCAGTTTGACCTCAATAACTCCTGACCTAAGGTGACCTAAGACTTGAAATTTGGTGTGAAGGTGTCAAATTGATGCCCGGAAAGGTACTGAAAATTTGGCGGCGCTGCGCGCCGCCGTTTTCTTGCTATTCAGGAAAAACCACAGGGGGGGCCAAAATGGCCCCCCCCCCAACGGGGCGAGGGTTAATCGACGACTGACACTGACTGACTACATAGATAGCTCGCTGACGACGACGAGTCTGAGCAGACTGACGAGACTGACTGGCCGCGGCCCTGGCGCGGCGGTTATACAGAGTATAGGTGGCGCCACGATCGAAGGCGGCCAGCACGGGAATGCAGGCATTGTTACAATTAGTGAGCAGTTATTTCCAATGAGGAATGATTACAGACATAGTGCAACCAATGAGAGTAGTATAAGAAGTTTCATAGACTATTGTACTACGCATATACTTATCGCAGATAGGTACTTATTATGTTCATAATATTCACATTCTACATACCTCCTATGACTGCTGAGTGCTGGTGCTAAAAATTGCTGTGCGGCCGCTCGTCTGTTTAAATGCTGACTGTGTCAGTGTCTGACACTCTGGTGTCAGTGGTGCAGCGGGGAGCTGGCGGCAGCTCTGTCCGACTGCTGTCAGCTGACACAGCTCTGTCCGACAGGGCCGGAGGTGACGAAGCCGAGGTGGCCGGGAGGGTACAGGGATGATGATCTGTCAGTGTCGCTCCAGGGGGTGGCTGCCGACAGCATCAGTCACCTGGCTGACCTGGGACGGACGGTCACAGTACTGGAGATATACGGTGAGCAGCGGCAGCACGGACAGACCGCTGATATACCAGCTCAGCGAATGGCGGACACCGAGTAACGGTGTGCCATTGTCAGACCTTATGGAGACAGGTGTGATACATAGCCAATGTGCAGTGTGCTTTGTGAAATAATGAAGCTAATTGAGCTCCAAAATGGCGGAGGACTGTTCACTCAGTGACAGTCCTGGACTGTTCACTCACCCTCATAGTTAGTTGAACTACATATTGCGATTGTAATGCAATGTTCAATGCACTTCAATGCATTGGCTGAACTGATCGCATATCCATAACATGGATATGCGATTAGATAACAAGAACATTCATGTTATCATGTTCATTCATTCATGTTAGCACATTCATTAATCATTCATGTTTAACCCTCGCCGGCCGAGGGGGGGGGCGGGTGCCGCCCCCCCCCATAGGGTTTTTTCGCGATAGCTCCGAACACGCTGGCGATAGAGAGCTGAAACTTGGCATACCTGACCTTTGATCCAAGCCGCATCTTTTGACACCAACCGCATTTTTGGGTCAGGTCAGGTCACTGACCTATGACGTCATAAGTGAACCTCTGCACGGTCTTCAGATGTCGCAACTTCGCAACGCCCTCACTGCCAGAGGAGATGTCACAGGGAAATGAAACTTGCAGGATCTAGTATCCATTATGAGTCTCACAACTTGTATATCTCGGATTTTTCCTAAAGGTCATATGAGGTCAGGTCATTTTCGTGACCTCACCATTATAAGTCAATGGGGAAAAATTCAAACTGCTATTCTGGCGCCGGGAACGATCTCCAACTATCTCAAGCACACAGAATCGTGATTCGATGCACTCCTTGCAAGGTTAGATGCGTCACTTTTGCAATGTTGACCTTGCGTGACGTCATTTATGACGTCATCAAGGTCATATTAGTTTTTCGTCAATAACTCTTGATCAAATTGAGCTAGCGAGTCGAGAAAGCCACCAATGGACTCAGGAAGACCTGCCGAATCGAATGATATGCGATATGACCTCTTTCGACCAACTTCGTGACCTTAGGGTGCTGACCTGACCTTGACCTGAGGTCAACACCCCAAGTTGACCTGACCCGAACAAAAAGTATATCATTCGACGCGCCTGAGCGAGGCGAACACGATGCTGCCAAAATCGCGGCTCTGCGGCCATTTTTTGCGAAGTTATTCACCAAAAACTGAACCGTACCTTGGGGCACTTGACCTGACCTCAGAGGTCACCGGTTGACCTAGGACCTTAAAATCGGGTACCAATCTCTGCGTCTCGTAACGGCGCACACGCTCGTTTTTTCCGCGACGCGCTAGCTCCACCAGGGGCGAAACGGCGAGGGGGGGTCGTACCCGTCCCCCCCCCCCTCGGCCGGCGCGTATGTAGGAAACCAATAGGTCCGGCGAGGGTTAAATGGCATATCATATAGTACCACTGTTATACCATGGCTTACGGTGTCCATAAAAACATGCGAATTCATAGCTGTTTCGTTTTTTCCATATATCGACATGTATCCCAGTCGGCTGATCCTGTCTGTATGTGTGTCTGTGTATTCCAGACTGTCCTGATCTCACGGCCGGCAGCCTGGAGCCCCTCACCAGGTGCCCTGAGCTGCGGGGTCTCACCCTGTCCGGCGGCGTCCCTGACACCGTGAGCCTGGAGCCCCTCACCAGGTGCCGTGGGCTGCAGTATCTCACCCTGTCCGGCGGTGACCCTGACGCCGTGCTAGACAGTCTCAGCGGCTGCCCCGGGCTGAAGTACCTTACACTGGGGGACCGCCAGCGGCCGGCAGAGACGGCCTTCACAGCAGCAGGGGTCAGCAGGTCAGTCAGCAGACACTGGCGAGGGGTGTCCTGTCAGACACTGACACTGACACACTGACACTGACACACTGACACTGACACGCTGACACACTGACACACTGAAGCTGACACACTGACACCGACACTGACACACTGACACTGACACACTGACACTGACACACTGACACTGACACACTGACACTGACACACTGACACTGACATACTGACACTGAAATACTGACACTGACACTGAAGTGACACATTGACACTGACACACTGACATTGACTCGTACGTCCGGTCGGCTGGTGCCGCTGTGTTTGTGTGTGACGGCTCTGCTGCTCTGCTCTGTTACAGACTGGTCAAGTCGTGTCGGACGCTGCTTGGTCTGGCCCTTCGCTGCACGGCAGACACCGGCCGGGCCGTGCTGACCGCCCTGAAGGAGGCGGACCTGGGCCGGCGAAGTTATGTCTGGCCCCGTACCATCGATCTCATTGTCCCCGGTAGGTGAGAGGGCGCCGCGCGCCGCGCCTCTGACCAGTCAGTCCCCCACAACAGACGCTGCACGGCGCCACCGGCCTCTCAGACACACACACTCGACCACCGCCGCAGGCCACGTCACAGACGGTGACGTGACGCGTCACGGCCACCACGGCCGACGGTGACGTCACGTCAGCCGTCTGTCCTGTGTGTGACGTCACTGTCCGGCGGTGTGTGGACATGGCTGTACCGCTGTCTGTGTGTCTGTCTGTGTGTGAGGCGGCCACCTCAGACGTGTCTCTGCTCTGTCCACAGAGGAGCTGTTCCGTCAGCTGAAGAGACAGGAAGGCGATGGGGTCAGAGTGTGGAAGTGGCCGGACTGATGCGCTACTACCGCCCGTGCAGTGATGAGCTGACTGCAGAGAGGCCGAGCCAGTCGGCCGGGGCCGCCAGCTGACTGCTGCCGTGTGTGCTGCACCAGCCGGCACTGAGAGCGGCGCCGGTCAGCCGGCACACGGCCCCGGTGTCCGCTCTAGTGTAGTCATCTAGTTGTAGTAGTTGTAGTGTAGATGTAGTAGTAGCACACGGATGTGATGTAGTGGGTAATTACAGGGCGGGTATTGTGGGTAATTGGACGGTAGATGTGATGTAGTGGGTAATTACCGAGCGGGTAGGTATTGTGGGTAATTGGACAGTGAAAAGTGATGTAGTGGGTAATTACCGGGCGGGTACTGTGGGTAATTGGACGGGAGATGTGATGTAGTGGGTAATTACCGGGCGGGTATTGTGGGTAATTGGACAGTGAAAAGTGATGTGCTGGAGAGACTACCGATCGTGGCATTACGCTATTCTGTATGTAGAACACACGTCTCTGACGGTCCGACTCGGTTCACCGCGCCTGGTCCCGGCGGCACGGCCGGCCTCGGTCACGTGACCGTCCCCCCGGTGGAGTCGGACTGCTCGGTCACGTGACCGCTCCCCCCGGGTCTGGCTGCACCTCGGCTCGGCGGTGCTGAGCGCCGTGCTGAGCGTGTTGTGACACGTCCCACACGGACAGCTCTACTCGACTACTGGCTAGCTGCCGTCCGAGCTGGCAGTATACACGCGGTGCCAGTTCAGACGGCGGCCGGCCGCGCCGCGCCCGCCCGCTCCGGTCCCGGCCGGCGGCCGTCACCCGGCCCGGGGCGGGGACCGGTCCGTCAGCTGACCATTGGTCAGTCAGCTGATTGGTCCGTCAGCTGACCATTGATCAGTCAGCTGACCATTGGTCAGTCAGCTGATTGGTCCGTCAGCTGATTGGTCAGTCAGCTGATTGGTCAGTCAGCTGACCATTGGTCAGTCAGCTGATTTGTCAGTCAGATTGGTCAGTCAGATGTCTATTAAATACATGAGAGGAGACGCTTCAGCTGTACCATCTGTAGCTTAGGGCAATTAGTTACCGGGCGAGTATTGTGGGTAATTGGATGAACTGCTGCGTTGTAGACGTAGTGGGTAATTACCGGTCGGGTGTTGTGGATAATGTAACCCTGGGTATGCTATAGCCGGCTATTCGACGGTCGGATATAGTCAGCTGGATGCTACTGAATTGTGTAGAGCTCTGACGGCACCGGTCATAACGAGTGTCCTCGCGTCTGTCCGACTCGGTTCACGGAAGCACGCCGTCACGGCCCGGGTGTGTGCCGCCATGTTTGGTGTCCTCTGCTTCGTACAGGGGGGTAATTGGGACTACCGACCGATTGGGAGTCGGAGTCGGAGTCCGTGTCGATCAAGCTGCCTTGACTCCGACTCCGGAACGGCTTTTTAGATTTTAGTTATCACTTGGCCATGCTACTGATAATCGGCTGCGCTTTGACTAATACATTTTACACAGGTCCAGTCTTTGTCCTGGAAAACCGTTACCTTCAGAGCTTACCTCATCATTTGTGCTAATGTCCTGGTGACCTGAGTACAGTTTGGCTCCACCAGAGGGGGGGGGGGGGTGTTTGTGCGCCGCTGTGCCGCCGCTGCTGTGACCTGCCGAGCTGCGGTCCCGGCTCCAGAGCACACCGTCGGCCGTCGAGGCCTGGTCCTTCTGTTCCGTGCACATCATCAACAGGTGTCGTATATATCTATAATACGGGCCCAGCGTGAGAGTTCACCGTTAACCGGCGGCCACACACTGACTGGCTGGATCGCCACTCGCCGTATTTCACCGCCTTCCCCGGTGCCGGGCGGACGATAACCTGTATACGACACACTGTTTACACCCGCCGTCATTTGGGATCAGGTCTGAGAGCCGCCTCGGGTGAATCAGCTGCCGTCTCGAGCCATTTGGCTGGATCTAGGATCCCATCGGATCTAAGATCACGATAAACTACGTGGGATCAGATCACACATATACCTATTCTGAGATTCTTGCACTGTTTTGGCCGCTCTGACTGGTGTCATGTAAGTAGTTCCCTGTTGCAGTTCTGTGTGTGTTGTATGGCCTGCACCCGTCCCCCTCACAACTGCAGTGTTCGGTGCTGGTCAGTGACCCACAGCTGACACCGGGCCTCCCACCGCCGGCGGATGAGCCGGCCGGCCCGTGCCCGGCCCTCCATTCCAGCCGCCACGGCCGGCCAGCGGCACTTGTCCAACACCGGCTGGACACACTACCGACTCGGAGACACACACGGCTCGGGAGACACCCGTGGCGTGTTCTGGGCCATACACGGACACTGCAGTGGCCACTGGGCAGAGGTGCGGACCGGACGTACCGCCCGCCCCTCCGACTGGGCAGGGGTGCGGACCGGACGTACCGCCCGCCCCTCCGACTGGGCAGAGGTGCGGACCGGACGTACCGCCCGCCCCTCCGACTGGGCAGAGGTGCGGACCGGACGTACCGCCCGCCCCTCCGACTGGTCAGAGGTGCGGACCGGACGTACCGCCCGCCCCTCCGACTGGGCAGAGGTGCGGACCGGACGTACCGCCCGCCCCTCCGACTGGACAGAGGTGCGGACCGGACGTACCGCCCGCCCCTCCGACTGGGCAGAGGTGCGGACCGGACGTACCGCCCGCCCCTCCGACTGGGCAGAGGTGCGGACCGGACGTACCACCCGCCCCTCCGACTGGTCAGAGGTGCGGACCGGACGTACCGCCCGCCCCTCCGACTGGACAGAGGTGCGGACCGGACGTACCGCCCGCCCCTCCGACTGGGCAGAGGTGCGGACCGGACGTACCGCCCGCCCCTCCGACTGGGCAGAGGTGCGGACCGGACGTACCGCCCGCCCCTCCGACTGGTCAGAGGTGCGGACCGGACGTACCGCCCGCCCCTCCGACTGGGCAGAGGTGCGGACCGGACGTACCGCCCGCCCCTCCGACTGGGCAGAGGTGCGGACCGGACGTACCGCCCGCCCCTCCGACTGGTCAGAGGTGCGGACCGGACGTACCGCCCGCCCCTCCGACTGGTCAGAGGTGCGGACCGGACGTACCGCCCGCCCCTCCGACTGGGCAGAGTCCACCAGACACCGACAACAAGCACCGACACACTGTCACAGCACATCCAGCAGCCGGCTTGTCTCGCTGTCAACCACGGACACTCGCCTAACCATCAACGCACTCACAAAATCAACTAATCACCCTCGCCTGTCCATCAACACACTAACAAAATCAACTTATCACCCTCGCCTGTCCATCAACGCACTCACAAAATCAACTAATCACCCTCGCCTGTCCATCAACGCACTCATAAAATCAACTAATCACCCTCGCCTGCCTATCAACGCACTCACAAAATCAAACGGTCAGCTCTCGTCAAATATACACAAAATAATACCGAGCTCACAACCATTCCCGTATTTATCGGAAAATCTCACCACAGCAGTCACCCCCGTTGCCGTCGTGTGGCCTTTCCGTTGCAGTGCGGGACGATTGTCAGCCCCCGTCCCTGCTGTGGCCAGCGGGCGGCTCCAGCACAGCGGCGAGCGTTACTGGCTGCAGCCGGTGTGTCCGTGCCCACAGCCGGGTGCAGCTGTTGGAGGCCGTGTTGGAGGCCAGTGTGGCGTCACACCGTCGTGCCGTCCCAGTCCGTGTCAGTGTCGGAGTGACAGTGGTCTATATATATACAGTGTCAGCTGTGTCCAGCTGCTGGTGCTCCGACTGTCAGCTGAACTGACACACTGACACTGCAGCCCCTGACAGTGTCAGACCGGCCACCGGTCAGTGTCAGCTGCCGGCACGGAGAGCGGTCCGGTGACACTCCCAGCTGCAGCCCCCTCCCCGTGGCTGGTGCCGCTGCAGTCTTATTGTGCCGGTGGTCAGCTCCGTCAGAATCCACCACAAACAGCTGCCGTCACTCCTCAGCCGCCGCTCCGACACTCTATTCCGGCAGCCGGGCACCAAATATGCTGCAGTGGCATGTCCGTCAAGACAGCCCATATTCAGCCCAGATTCAGCCCGGATTCAGCCCAGATTCGGGACACCTCCGATCAAGCTGCAACTCGCACACAAGGTAGGCCATGACATGCCCATTGCCCAATCCACAGTCCAAGTCATTCGGTGGCACTCCCAGCCGTTTGACCTACAGAGGTCAGCAAATGTTACGTGGCCCAAATTTGCACAGCAGATTATGGCCCACCCAGTAGAAGCTAGAGCACTAAAAATGGCACCAATCGACTCGCCAGCATCTAATCTTACTTTCCCAACATTCATTTGACCTTTCAAGGTCATGCGATGACCTAAGGCCATTTGTGGGCTATGTCGAAAATACACTTGCACAGCAGTTTTCGAGTAGAGGAATTGACCGAATTCCAAATCAAAGCACATCATCGGGTAGCCCATAGGCCGTAGTAAATTTACTGAAAACCCGCTTTTCGATATGTGACCCCGTGTGACCTCGGCAGGTCAAAATGCGCAAATAAACGACACTCCATACGTCGCAGCCCGGATTCAGCCCAGATTCGGGACATCTCCGATCAAGCTGAAAATCGCACACAATGTAGGCCATGACGTGTTCAATCCACAGTCCGAGTCATTCTGTGGCACTCCCAGCCGTTTGACCTAGAGAGGTCAGCAAAGGTCACGTGGCCCTAATTTGCACAGCAAATTGTGGCCCACCTAGTAGAGCTAGAGCGCTAAAAATGGCACCAATCGACTCGCCAGCATCTAATCTTACTTTCCCAACACTCATTTGACCTCTCAAGGTCATGCGATGACCTAAGGTCATTTGTGGGCTATGTCGAAAATACAATTTCACAGCAGTTTTCGAGTAGAGGAACTGACCGAATTCCAAATCAAAGCACATCATCGGGGAGCCCATTGGCCGTACTAACTTTCCCTTAAACCGCTTTTCGATATGTGACCCCGTTTGACCTCGGCAGGTCAAAATGCGCAAATAAACGACACTTCATAGTCCATACGTCGCAGCCCGGGTTCAGCCCAGATTCGGGACATCCCCGATCAAGCTGAAAGTCGCACACAATGTAGGTGCTGACATGCTCAATCCACAGTCCGAGTCATTCGGTGGCACTCCCAGCCGTTTGACCTACAGAGGTCAGCAAAGGTCACGTGGCCCAAATTTGCACAGCAGATTGTGGCCCACCCAGTAGAGCTAAAGCGCTAAAAATGACACCAATCGACTCGCCAGCATATAATCTTACTTTCCCAATACTCATTTGACCTCTCAAGGTCATGCGATGACCTAAGGTCATTTGTGGGCTATGTCGAAAATACACTTGCACAGCAGTTTTCGAGTAGAGGAATTGACCGAATCCCAACTCAAAGCACATCATCGGGTAGCCCATAGGCCGTAGTAACTTTCCTTAAAAACTGCTTCTCGATATAAGACCCCGTTTGACCTCGGCAGGTCAAAATGCGCAAATAAACGACACTCCATACGTCGCAGCCCGGATTCAGCCCAGATTCGGGACATCTCAGATCAAGCTGAAAATCGCACACAATGTAGGCCATGACGTGCCCAATCCACAGTCCGAGTCATTCGGTGGCACTCCCAGCCGTTTGACCTAGAGAGGTCAGCAAAGGTCACGTGGCCTAAATTTGCACAGCAGATTGTGGCCCACCCAGTAAAGCTAGAGCGCTAAAAATGACACCAATCGACTCGCCAGCATCTAATCTTACTTTCCCAACACTCATTTGACCTCTCAAGGTCATGCGATGACCTTAGGTCATTTGTGGGCTATGTCGAAAATACAATTGCACAGCAGTTTTCGAGTAGAGGAATTGACCGAATTCCAAATCAAAGCACATCATCGGGTAGCCCATATGCCGTACTAACTTTCCTTAAAACCGCTTTTCGATATGTGACCCCGTTTGACCTCGGCAGATCAAAATGCGCAAATAAACGGCACTCCATACGTCGCAGCCCGGATTCAGCCCAGATTCGGGACATCTCCGATCAAGCTGAAACTCGCACACAATGTAGGGGCTGACATGCCCAATCCACAGTCCGAGTCGATCGGTGGCACTCCAAGACCTGTCAGGTGGCCCAAATTTGCACAGCAGATTGTGGCCCACCCAGTAGAGCTAGAGCGCTAAAAATGGCACTAATCGACTCGCCAGCATCTAATCTTACTTTCCCAACACTCATTTGACCTCTCAAGGTCATGCGATGACCTAAGGTCATTTGTGGGCTATGTCGAAAATACACTTGCACAGCAGTTTTCGAGTAGAGGAATTAACTGAATTCCAAATCAAGGCACATCATTGGGTAGCACATAAGCCGTAGTAACTTTCCTTAAAACCGTTTTTTTCGATATGTGACCTCTTTTGACCTCGGCAGGTCAAAATACGCAAATAAAAGACAATCCATAAGTCGCAGCCAGGGTTCAGCCCAGATTCGTGACATCTCCGATCAAGCTGAAAATCACACACAATGTAGGTGCTGACATGCC